ACACCTCTTCGAACACCCATCACAAAGGTCACAGCCAACACTCCTATAACAAAAGACAGGTTGAAAAGAGACAGGCATCACAAATTTATTTAAAATCAAAGTTTTACCTGTGACCTAAAGAAGGCTCAACCCCCACCGGCTGACTGAATGGACCCCCTTGTGGCCAAAGGAATATCCCAAAATTAAATCGTCTGCCAGGAGAAGGGAGGTCAGACACAGACATGCCTTATCATGCCCCCCCTCCCGTCTTGGGGACTTCCTTTGTAACCCATTAACAGGCCTAAGGGTATGCAAGACAAACCTGCAGGTCCTCAATTTACGCAACAAATCTATGTCTGGTGGCGTATCTCTGATAACAGCTCCTCATGTTGAAACTTTCCAAGCCTTTAGACAAGGCTTCATGTCTTTAACCAATTAGAATCCAAAGAATCTTTAAACCCACCTATAACCTGTAAGCCCCCCCCTTCGGATGTCCCACCTTTTTGGGCCAAACCAATGTATGCCTCCCACATATTGATTGATGATTTTACCTGTAAACCCTGTCTCCCTGAAATGTATAAACACCAAACTGTAACCCAGTCACATCGAGTCCACTTGCCCAAGGTCTCTTGGCAGTGGCTCCGGGTCATGGTCCTCAAATTTGGCTCAGAATAAATATCTTTAAAATTATTTTACAGAGTTTGGCTTTTTTTCCGTTGACATACCTGACATGGGAGACTTCAGAAATGAAGACCCAAAGACCCAGGGAAACCTTCCATTTTGGGGCTTAGGTTCAATGAAGAATGGACAGCCGTGTAAAAATGTGCTTAGACAAAAATGGTATGATCTCATGGTAACAGACTGAGGAAGGAAACCCAGCAAGGCCTCTGTTCTGATTCTTCTTGGCTTCTCTGCGTAGAATGCCTTTCCCCCAGGCTAAGGGCAGAACACCTGTCACATAAGGTATTCAGAGGAGAAGGGAGAAGGTCAGAGAGTGACCTTCTTAGGTTTGATGGCTGACTTTGGGGAGAGAAGTTCTAGTTTCTATGACTCACCTTGAGCGAGAGCAATTCTACAACTTGCTGCCGGAAAGTGGGATGAGAGACAGGATGGGAGGAGGTCAGCAAGACCTTGCTTCTGAGGCCTTCCAATTTCTTTCAGTTCAAAGTACTTATTCTTAAGCATGACAAAGCACCATATTCTGGAACATTGTGTTATGAGCTCCAACACTGCTAAATTTGAATCAATAACTCTCAAACTTTAAAATACATAAGAATACACCTTAGATTCCCAGATTCATCAGTCTAGAATGTGGTTTCAGAATCAGCATTTTTAATAAGCTCACCATTCTGATTACAGATGGTCTGGAGATGAAACCATGAGAAATACTGTTCTAAACTCTTGTCAACTGGAAAAATAGATAAACAGTGTTTTTAAAATTATGTGTTAATTTTCCACTTAGGATGTGTAAACTGAAAGGAACATAGCTCCTACCCTTATACCAAAAAAAAAAAAAATTGGACAATTTGCAAATTTACTTTTCTTGAACCCATCAGAGAACTGAGGCTGAAGGGCAACCAGCACATCCAAAATGTGAGCAAACACAGACACCTCCAAAGAGGCACAAAACCAAGCACTTGATTACCAGGGGCAGATGCCACTGGTCCCAGATAAGATTATTCAGTTAAAATGTTTAACAAATTGCTAAGGGCTGAGTTTAGGCTAGCAAGAGACTATTGAACCCTTTGGGACCCAGATAAAGGAGAATTTATACCCTCTCACAGACTCTTTCCTACATACCTCACTGATTATACACAAAAAAGGGTGGGAACAGGACATGAGTCTTCAGATAGCATCCCTTGTGCTGTAAGCCTGAGAGAAAGGAACAGCAGCCACTGTGGGGAGTGCATGAAGCCACGCCTGGATCCTTATCCCTGACATCTCTCCTACAGAGCAAAGCCTTAAAATGTTGGTGGAAAGGCAACAAACCCTAACACTCTGAAGTCATTGCTAAAAAAAAAAAAAAAAAAAAAAGTCATTGCAGCTGAAAGAAGGGGAGAGTTGAAGAGCAAACTCCCCTCCATAGGAAGGAGCATGAATATGTGTCAGGCTCAGACCCACAAGCTAACAGTGAAGGGTGACCACTGAGAAAGCCTCACACCCAAGACCCAGAGACACAATGCCTGCCTACCACTGAGACTTAATCAGAACAACAAAAAATGCTTCCCTGTTCCCCATCACCAGGCCAACAAGCATCAAAGGGAAGAAAGCTGGAGGTAGAGAAGACATTGGGAAAAACCTTCTAGCAAACCAGCCCCCAACCTAACACAAGATACACTTACAGGAATTTGAAACTGTGTTGTTCTGAGAGTAACCATACTAACAACAACAACAACAACAACAACAACAAAGCCCTCCAAACTGGCTCAACTCCTTAGTACATTGACTCATTCCTCACATTAAATGTTAAAAATAAGGAAAACATGCCCATTTGCAAGTGTAACAACTATAGTCACCTAGTGACAGGGATACATTCTGAGAAATATGTCATTAGGTGATTTTGTCATTGTGCAAACATCATTCAGTGTACTTATATAAACCTAGGTGCTATGGCCTTCTATACACCTAGGCTGTAGGGTATAGCCTATTGTTCCCAGGCCACAAACCTATACAGCATGTTACTATATTGAATACTGTAAGCAATTGTAACACAATGGTATTTGTGTATCTAAACATATCTAAGCATAGAAAAGGTACAATAAAAACATGTTATTATTTTACAGGATCACTGTCACATATGCAGTTCATCATTGACCGAAACATCATTATGTGGCACACAACAATATTTAACTCAGTCTCTACTATCCTATACAAGATGTATGGCTTTTGTCAAAAAATTAAAAGATATGCAAAGAAACAAGAAAAACAACATGATCAAGAGGCAAAGCAATCAACAGAACCAGATTCAGATATGACAGATGTCAGAACTATCAAACTATCATAGAATTTAACAATTATGATTATTAATATATTAAAATGCTATAGTTGAAAAAAAATGAGCAACATGCATGATGAGATGGGTAATTTCCAAAGAAAAATGGAAACTATAGAAATAATGAAATGGAAATGCTATCAAAGAAAAATACAATAGCAGATATGAAGAATGCTTTCAATGGGCCCATTGGTAGACTTGAAACAGCCAAGGAAAGAATAAGTGAAATTGAAAATAAGCTAATAAATATTACCCAAATTGAAACCCAAAAGAAAAAAGAGTAGGCAAACAAACAAACAAAACCCAGAGCAGAGTACCTAAGAGCTGGGGGCAATATCAGCCTAATGTGCATGTCACTGGAATCTCAGAAGAAGAAAAAAACAAGGCAAAAAAAATTGAAGAAATAACACATTTAAATGTATCTTCTTTTGTTGCCTTTTTAGTGCATTTTATTTCTTTATGTAGAATCAAGATTCAGTCCAGTATCATTTTTGTTCTACCTGAAGAACTTCCTTTAACATTTCTTATAGTGCAGGTCAGTTGTCAATAAATTCTTTCAGTTTTTGTCTGATAAAGTCTGTATTTTTTCCTCATTTTTGAAAGATGCTTTTGCTGGGGGTATGGATTTCTATGTTGACAGTTTTTTCCTTTAACACTTTAAGAATGCCACTTCATTGTCTTCTGGCTTGCACAGTTTCTGGCTAGAAGTCTGCTATAACTGTTGTCTTTGTTATCTAAAGGTAAATACATCTTTTTTTCTCTAGCTACCTTGCAGAATATCTCTTGTCTTTGGTTTTCAGTGATTTGAATGATGTGCCTAGGTGTATGTTTTGTTTATGTTTTGGTATTTTATCCTGCTTGATGTTCTCTGAGTTTCTTGGATCTGTGGTTTAGTGTCTTAATTTTGGACCCATCTTAGCTATCATAAGGGTAGAATTTTTAAGCTGATATCTGAAGAATGAGTAGATATTAGAAAAAGAAAAGGCAGGTGGTCACATAGTTACTACAGTAATAGGGTATTGGGCAGGGGGGAGGGGGGCGGGTATATACATACATAATGAGTGGATGTGCACCATCTGGGGATGGTCATGCTGGAGACTCAGACTTGTGGGGGAGGGGGGGAATGGGCATTTATTGAAACCTTAAAATCTGTACCCCCATAATATGCTGAAATAAAAAAAAAAAAGAAAAGGCAAGAAGTATTTTAGAGAAGAGGTCAAAGAGATGCAGGAAATGTTATTATTAATAACTCTACAGGTGAGGAGAGATCCTCACATTTTGTGCAAATTAAAAAGACCATTTTGGGCTAAGGAAAAAGAATGAATGGGAAGGTGTGATAGACAAAGATGATAGACTTGGAATACGTTTTGGAAGACTGTGTAACCCACATTAAACATTTTTTTTTTATTTCTAGGGTAAATAGTGAAGGTTTTTAAGCAGAAGAGTGACATAATCAGATTTAAATTCCTAAATTGCTAATTCATAATAACCATTCTGCCTGCTAAGTAGAAAGTAGATTGTGCATAATGTCTTAGAAGCCAAGGGTCTATACATTTCCTTGAATAGAGTCTCAAGTTATGGGCACTTCTTTTCCATCTTCCTTTACCCTATACCTTTCATCACCTAACATATACCTCCTAGTCTCCCTGCAAATTTTACCTATGCTATGGTCCATTCCTTTGGGTCTTGCTAAATGTTTACCAATATCCTTCACACAGATAAGCTATATTTCCCAGACTCCTTTGCTGTTAAGTGTGGCTATGTGCTTGAGTTCTAGCCAATATGAATAAGAAATAAACTTTTATTGTCCTGTATCACTAAGATTTAGGGGTACTCACAGCAGCTAGCCTACCCTGACAAATGCACTAAGTAACTACCTAGTTAAAAGTAACTTAACTTTTAGATTACTAGTGAATCCCTTAGAATCATATTATGTGAAAATATTATATTTTATAGGACTACTGGGAATTTTATAAATAGATTAAGAAAAGGTAGCTAAAAGTTCACATATTCTCCAATTCACACAACATTGAGAGCCACACACTTTATTTTACCAGTCTACCTCTAGGAAGTTCCTGACAAAATTCCTGGGATTCATGCTTTTAATTAAGCATGGAATGGTCTCACGGAAAGTTCATTGCATTTGTAATAGGAGGACCAGTATTCTTCTTTCTGAAATGCTACTAACAGCCATGTAGCCTTAGAAAATTTTCTTACCACTTCGGTGTCCATTTTTGTAATCTGCAAAAGAGGGGATAATATCAATCTTCAAGGATTATGGGGATTAAATGAGGCAATATTTGTGTGGTAGGTTGCTATAATTTTACCAATTATTTTCTCTCCCCTGTATCTATACCTTTTCCAGGTGACTGAAATTCCTCCAGCAAAAGGAGTAGAATATATTTCCCTACACCATGACACCGAATTCAGCCATGTGACTTGCTTTGGCCATTATATAAGGCCTTGTGAGTTTTGCTTGTTCTCTAGAACATACCTGGCTTAGCTTCGTGGAAGATCAGAGACACATGGATCAGAGCTGAGTCACCCAAGTCATCTCAGCTAAGGCCATCCCAGATCAACTGATAGCCACCAACCCCCAGATATGTGAACAAGCCTAGCCAAGATCAGCAGAGCCACCTGCGAAGCTCTAGACATGTAAGCAATAAACACATATTGTTATATGCCACTGAGAGGTCATGGTTGTTTGTTATACTGCATTATTTTGACAACAGATAACCAATAGCCTGGGAGATTAGACACTCACAAAGTTCAAAGTACTATACAAATGTAAACTATTAAAATCAGGGGTGGGGGACAGATATATAGATATATATCCAAGACTCCCTTGGTCTATGAGATATTAGAGCCTATGAAAAATCTTATTAAATCATGTTTCAGAGAGTATGGAATCAGTTTGAGATGAACAGGACCTTGGATATGGTCTAGTCTTATTATTCTATCTGTGCATGAAAGCTTTTCTTTGCTCATCAACATTGATTCTTTTGTCTGTACCAACAGGCTTGCTCCCTCTAGCACCTCTATGTTCTCACAGTTATAAAAGGCATCATCCTTAAATCCTGCCCTCTCTCTAGTAATCCCTACGCAGACATCCCAGGGGGTTGGGTCCAGTTCCATCTTTCTCAATTGGCCATTTCTCTTGTGTTGGCATCTGTCAGTTATGCTCTGATCATGCTGCAATTTGCAATTTTTCCAGATGCCTTTGACATGCAGCCACCTTGACAAGCCAAAAGCTGCTAATGCTACATCATTTATCACATTTTCCTGCATATTACATTAATCTTAAAGACGCAGCTTAATGCACACAAGGACAACCTCTCTGAATATAGAAGGGCTAGTTTACAACAGCTCATAAAATAAGCATCCTCTTGGGTTTCCAAAGAAATGGGAAGCCACAGGAATAAATTGGATGAGAATCCAGGCAAGCTGGTTTTTATTTTCTAAAGGAAGGAAGAAATTATTTAGCCTTATGCAGGGCTCTTTTGGGCACCTCACACATTGTTATTACAGAACAAATGCTTATTATTATTCTTAAAATGAGGTAACCCAAGACGGACCTTTTCTTCCTTAAAAGGAATAAGGAGTATTCCAGGTCCCATTTCAGCATCCTGAATGGTATCTTCACCTTAGCTGCTGAAGGATCTTTTTTTCCCCCTCTAACCTAGAAGAAGGCAGGAGGCAGAGTGCCTGTCTAGAAAAATGACAAATCAGACATGACATACATACAGACCCATTACTTCTGTCATATTTCTCCTCTTAACTTTTCTCAGCAATTAAGGTTTCCACGAGCCTCCCACTCCTTTTCAAATCCTGCTCGTGAGGCAGTTGTAATTAAATCTCCCTGATTTCCCAATGCTTCTTCTTTGTGAAAGAACTTTATCTTAGAAAAGTTCCCCTTCTGAATTTCCCCAAACTCTCTTTCCTGACTCAGGCTGTGATGGGTCAAACAAAATCTTTTTCTCCCTTTCTTCTAAGTCTAAATTCAGGTCAAGCACTACCTCTTGCAGGAAGGCTTCCCTGACTACCTAACCCAGCCTCCTTTTGAGGCTCTTCCTCTGGACTCCCACAGCCTCTTTTACATGCCTCTATCTTAATAGTTGCTGCACAGTCTTGTAGTCACTGGTGTCTTATTATCTCCCACACTTAGCTTGTGCAAAGAGGACAAGCCAAGCCTCAGTTGACATTGCATCCATGTACCAGCTTTCCCAGCAGAATACCAGAGGAGGAACACTGGTAATATCCACCCTCACAGCAAGTGCGCCACCAACATGCTAAGCTTAAATAGAACATTGCCTTTGTTCCTACCTGGTTAGCCTCACGAAGAGAATAAGATGCCATGATTTACCTGAAGATGAGCTTCATGGAATCTTCTGAAATGGTCAAATAATCTATCAAACAATCTTTGGGCACGTGGTGTGGGGCCAGATTTGCACTAAGCACCATGGTGGGGAGGGGGTGGTAATAAGGAAATACAGAAGTAGGTCTCAGAGAATAAGAAATACATTCCCTTGTTAGAGATTTAAATATATATGAGAAACACTAACTTTACATCACAGTGTATGAGTGCCAAATAAGCCACATAGACTATAATAGCCAGAGGAAGAATTCAGATAAGTAGAGATCACTAGAAAAGGAGGAAAGCTGGAAGGGTTTTTAGGGCAGCTTTGCAAAAGCAGCAAGCACTGGATCTTGAATGAGAGCAGCATCTCAACAGAGGGGAGAGGGGCAGGCATAACTCTCGCAAGGAACAGCATAAACAAAGGCACACGGCAGGAACTGCACAGTCTACTTAGATTTAGAGAATAATGAGTAGACTTGCTGGGCTAGGATGGAGTCCCTGTGATGAGGAATAATGGAAAACTAGGTTCCAAAGCCAGACCAAATTTTCTTTATTTTTTTTCCCTAATAAAAAGAACCGCCCAAGTCACCTACTTCTAAGAGGCCCCATCAAATCTTTGTCCCTGAACAGGAAATGTGCACTTAAGCAGGGAATGTGCAGTATTACAACTCAGCCACCACCAATTACTCTTCAGCACCCTGTTAACTCCTGGCTAACCAAAGGCTACTTTCCTAGTCTGTGCCTTATCTCTTTCCACCAACCAGTATAAAGTGTGTACCCACTACGTGCTACTCTCTGTACTAAGCTCCCAAAATCCCTCAAAAATGGAGGAGATTGAATGCTTAACTTCAAAGAACATATTTTCCTCTTATTTTTCTTGTCCCACAATTCTCTACTCCTCTACCATTTCTTAGAGGCAGTATTCATTTAGGAGTTCCATCAAACTTCAGAGCTTTTGTAGCCCTTCCTTGATAAACACATTTTAATCATGACAGTAGCTTTAAAAGAGAAGAAAGACAAGTAGTAAATAATTTGGCTTTGGAAGTAAAGCAGTTAAATTTTGAGTGCCTTCTTTATAACGTTAGACCTTGAGCTATTTATTTGCTCCTCGGTGGTTAAAAATTGGCTCTATCTCCCAGAAAACTTCTCTTGCATCTCTCTCTGATGAGAAGCAAGGCATCTCTCTTCTTGTCTAAATGAAGAGTTGAAACCATGGCCACACAAGATAGTGAAGTCCAACTCACCCTTCTGAGAATGACTTGGTCCAGCCTCTGGGCAGGCTCCAAAACAGCACAGGCTGCCTGAAAAACCCTCCCTCTCACCATGCCAAGCCATATGTCTTCTATCATTTAAGTAATTCCTGAAATCCCACCCTGTCTGTGCTCCCTTAAGACTGCAGAGAAGAATGACTAAGTCCTTCCCTTCATCAGAGCCTGTCTCCTTATGAAAGGCTTTTGGCCACTTTCCCTGGTCACCACCCCCAAACCCAACAAAGACTTTGCGCCTCACCCCTACACATAATGTGCCCTTGAACTGCACTTACTACAAATAGCCTATATTTTAACTTACTTGTGGTATTGCAAATGCTTTCTTTCTGTCTAAGAAGTCTTAAGTTTGTTGGAATTCAGCAGACTAGCCTGGTTTGGGGTTGTTTCCTTCAATGAACTAAAACAGGACTATATCAAACAAGTATTTGTTCACACACTGCTTTCTCACTTAGGCCATGCTGATGATAACCAACTGTTAAGAATCAACATTTCTATAGCATTTATGAAACACTTTCAGATCCATGATCTCATTTTTTTTCAGCATAACCCTATGAAGTAGCATTTACATTATCCTCTCATAATAAGTAAATGGAAGTTCAAAGAGGTTAAGTAACTTGCCTTTGATCAAGCAATATATGGAGCCAGGAAAACTATTTAGGAATAATTCCATGTAGATCCTGCACCTGTGACACCATAAAACAAAATAAATCTCAGATGGACTAAATGGTTAAACATAAAAAAAATAAAACTATTAATAAAGGAGAAACATAGTTAAATATTTTCCTGATTTCTGTACTAAACTTTCCTGATTTCTGGATGAAGAAAGATTTTTTTTACACATAAAAACAATGGAAGAAACCCCAAAAGAAAAAAATTTAATAGATCAGTCTATATAAAAATGTAAAACATTTATATGTCACAAAACCAAACAGAAAGCCAACAATCTGAGGGAAAATTGCCTGAGAAAGGAGTGCCTTCTCAGCTATAGATTTCATGCAAATATATTTTTTAAATCTGTTCAAAAGAAATTTACATAAGAAATGAGTAGACAACTTATAGAAAAGTAAACATAAAGAACTAATAAACATATTTTTAAGGTTCAACTTTAGTAAGAATCAAAGACGTGAAAAATAAAATAATGAAACACTGTTTTCATCTATCAATTTAATTGTAATGGTTACATACAGTGCAAGTGATGGTAATGTGGCCCCCACGATTACACTGATGAAAATGTAGCCTGATGTAACCCTTCCAGAGCAGCTGATGACTACCTACCAAGAACCTGAAAAATATTGAGACATGTTGAGCAAGTAATTCCATCACTCTGGGAATCTATCACATGGGAAAAATCAGAGATAATTCTTAAAGATTCATGTATGTTAATGTTCATCAGTAATATTTAAATGGTAATTAATTTGCATAATTCAATATCTTATTATATCTAAATATATACCATATTATGTGTAATATAAAATGTTAAGCAATTCTTTCAAAATAATGCATATAAAGAATTTTAACAAGGCCGGGCGCGGTGGCTCACGCCTGTAATCCTAGCTCTCTGGGAGGCCGAGGCGGGCGGATCGCTCGAGGTCGGGAGTTCGAAACCAGCCTGAGCAAGAGCGAGACCCCGTCTCTACTATAAATAGAAAGAAACTAATTGGCCAACTAATATATATAGAAAAAATTAGCCGGGCATGGTGGCTCATGCCTGTAGTCCCAGCTACTTGGGAGGCTGAGACAGAAGGATCGCTTGAGCCCAGGAGTTTGAGGTTGCTGTGAGCTAGGCTGACGCCACGGCACTCACTCTAGCCTAGGCAACAAAGCAAGACTTTGTCTCAAAAAAAAAAAAAGAATTTTAACAAAAGGGCAAATATATATACATACATACACACTGCAACTATATAATATGATCTTGGTCATGTAACTATATGTATGGACAGGTGGGTTGTCTAGGATGTAGACCATAAGAAGAGGTTAGGAATGGAAGAAGCTTTATTAGGGAGTAATACCTGTAAAAGAAAAGGAGAAACAGCAGGATGGCATGCGAACTACAATGCAGGTGTAGAAAATCTTTGCCAGCCCAATGGGTAGCAAGGCAGCCAAGACTGCCCTTTAGAGGAGCCCTATATTGGGGGAAATGGCCAGGCTCTTACAGCACAACCTTGTTCAGTCACTGGCTGGGGCCGCCACTAGAACAATGGGACCTTGATTCAAATGCTGAAGCAAGTCTTGAAGGGACTAACAGCTGGAGTCAAGGTATCTCTGGAAGGGAGATTTGAATGGCCCCTAATTGTATCTACAAAGGAAAAATACTGGGAATGCCAAGATGGATTATTTTTATGTTCTTTATACTTTTCTATATTTTCCATGTTTCTGCAAAAAGCATAATAATCAGAAATTGTGTTATACTCAGAACAATAGGATTTTTTTATTTTAAAATGAGAACGTTCCAGGGATTTCTGGTTTCTTTGGTCTCTCTTACTCCCATCCTCACACATTCTTTGAGAGTTATGACTCTAATATATTTATAGTTTGCTTACAGACATTGTGTTAGGACATAATTTCCAGAACAAGAAAGAGTTTTAAATTACACACACATACATACACAGAATACTGTCTTAGGTTGGCTTTCTCAGGTCCTCACTTCTTTCAAAGTGTATGAGAAAGTTTCCAACTTCTCTCTCATGGTTGGAAGGAAGAGAAGGAGCCAGGGTGGGCAGAGAAGGGGGGTTCACACTTACTGCCTGCTGCATGCAGGGTGAAGGTAGAGATTTTACAGCATTACATCATCTGTGATCCATGGTATTATCTGTCAGCACTCTAAAAACAAAAGGTTCAGAGTCAAGTACATTGCCACACATCTGGTAAGCAATGGAGACGTAATTCACTCAAGGTCTGTCTGGCCTCAAATCTTTGCTCATTCATCTACACCTCACGGCTTTCAATCAAGATATATCCATATCCTGTAGCTTAGCCAATTTGGGCAAGCCGATAATCAGAAATGTCTTTGTATGCAATATGGACTGCTGCCAAGGGTGGGCAGAGAGTCAAGAGACTTGTGTTCTGACACTGGCTGTGTTCAAGGTGTCAGATGACTTCAGACGATTTGTTTTCTTGCCCGTGGAAGCAGTGGCTGGGACTAGCGGTTTCCAAAGGGCTTTCCTGCCCTTAACCTCTGACTCTCTACGTACACATATATATGCATAAACGGTGCTCTCAGCAAGCCAGTGTTATTGCCCTGCCACATCTAAATAATGCACGAACTTGTTCTGCTTGTATGGGAAACAGAGTTCTTTAAACAGTTCCCTGCGATTGCCTCACCCAGAACTACTGATAAAGACAACTGCATTCACCACAGCACTGTTTACCAGCAAAAGGCACGTAACAATCCAAACACCAATGGAAAGAGGACTAATTAAATAAGCTATGGCATGGCAGGGCCACGGAATACCATGCAGACATTGAAAAAGAATTAGCAGATTTACCCAACACTTTCTATGCTGAGCTTCCTGGTACACCATTCTTCCACTGTTGTCTTCCCCCATGGCTGTCCCAGCTCAGTCTCCTTTTTCGGCCCTCCTTCCTCTGCCCAACTCCTAAATGTCAAAGGGACCCAGGAGTAAGTCCCTGACCTTCTTCTCTCTCTATTCTCTCTCTACATTCAATCCCAGGATTTAAAATATTATCTGATGATATTCCTATCTCCAATGCTAACCTAAGCCAAGCCCTCTCTAAACTAAACACCCCATGCTTTCTGAATATTGCACTCATTAATACTTGAGTGCCCATTAAGGGCCAGGCACTGACTGTTCTAGGCCCTGAGAATACAGCATCAGGAAAAAGCAAGACAAGATCTTGGCCCTTCTTAACATTCTCGAAGCAATGCCAGAAAATAAACAAGTAAATGATAATTATGTAATGTAACGTCAGGTGGCGTTATGGAAGGAATGGAAGAGGTGGAAGCTCTTTTAGATGAGATGACCAGGGAGGGAGAGATGGAATAGAGGAGAGGAGTGACACATGCCAAGGGCAGGCTGGACGAGACTTCCAGGGGGAGGGAACAACAGGGACAAAGGCCCCAGGGTGGGATGTGCTTGGCACCCGGGAGGAAGAGGAGGAAGGCCGGTGAAGCCGAGGCAGGCAGGGGCAGAGCCCATGAGGCCCTGCGGCCATGGTGAGGGGTCTGATTAATGAATATATGTGCTGTTAGAGAATCATCTCCAAGATACATTGTTACATACAAAAGCAGAGTGCAGATGCTGCCTAGAATATTTCTGGAAGGATACACAAGAAATTGTAAACGGTGGTTACATCTGGGAATGGAGTCTAAGGGGTGCCAGTAAAAGAGAACTGTATTTTTCAGTGATAATTCTTTATACTGTTTGAATTATCTCCATGAGCATAAAATACATTTTCAATTTTTTAAAAATATCCCCTCCTTGTCTGCTCGCATGTGTTGGTCCAATTGGCCCAGTGGACTCGCCACATTTGCCTGATTGATAAAACCCCTCAGTGTCCTCGATTGCCCACCAGGGTTCTTAAGCGTTTCCAGTTCACTTGGATTTCACCGAGTGGAGATCACCACATGCTGTAGGTTTCGTTTTTGTTCTCTCTTTTGCAAGCGGGAGGTCCTTCACCACCAAGACCAAAGGCCAGAGTGTGATTTCTTCTTTCCTCCCCCGGGGGTCACATAACTACGCGACTGTCATGGGCTCCAGGGATGGGGGCTCTTCTCCACGCCCCTCTCAAGGAAGCTGGGAGGTTTGCTGTTCCCAGGTGACATTGTCCCCTGCTCTCCTAGGGGCTCCTGCCCGGTCCAGACCTCCAGACAGCCAATGCCAGTTTGTACCAGTCTCAATAACTGGGACACCACCATTTTTTTTTTGAGACAGAGTCTCACTTTGTTGCCCAGGCTAGAGTGAGTGCCATGGGGTCAGCCTAGCTCACAGCAACCTCAATCTCCTGGGCTCAAGTGATCCTACTGCCTCAGCCTCCCGAGTAGCTGGGACTATAATCATGAGCCACCATGCCCGGCTAATTTTTTCTATACATATTTTTAGGTGGTCAATTAATTTCTTTCTATTTTTAGTAGAGGCAGGGTCTCGCTCAGGCTAGTTTCGAACTCCTGACCTTGAGCAATCTGTCCGCGTTGGCCTCCCAGAGTGCTAGGATTACAGGCGTGAGCCACCGCGCCCCGCCTACACCACCATTTTTAAAGGACAGCTGGCATGTGCCTTTCAGCAGGAGATTAAGGGGCTGTTTCCTACCACAAGGCGGGTCCCCGGCCTGGCCCCACAGAGCCTGAGACCCAAAGACATAGCTGTCTTGTTTTGCAGATGACAAAACAGAAGTCTAGAGAGTGAAGTACTTGTCCAGGTTGCACAGTGAGTTTATCAAAGTACCAGGACTAAAATTCAGGCCCCCCCAAATTCCCAGTTCTGGGCTCTTTCCAACTAGATCTCTCATCCCAATCCTGAATCCAACCCAATTACCCTTCCCCTCAGCTCCGTGCTTGGCTTTCCAGGGAGCTGAAGCGAAAGGAGGGTGGAGGGGAAAGAGTTCACAACCAGAGCAGTTTCTGGGGTCTCTGCAGTGACTCTGGCCTCTCACGGGTTTGACAAGTGCTCACGGCCAGCTCATGAGCACTCCTGGGACTTTAGGGACACCCTAGTGATCTCCTCAGACCCCCTTTTGCAAACCTCAATACAAACGCAATTTCCCTCTCCAGCGCCAGATCAGAAGCAGGTGTATTTTAAGTTGACTACAAAAACCTCTTGCCTTTAAAAAAAAAAAAGAAAAAATGGAGGGGGATTGGAAAGGGTAATCGCAGAGACCAAATGATCAAATAAAGCGACTCTTCTCTATGGTAATGCATGATCATATAGAGGAATGTTTAAGAAGACACCCAGGACATGAGAATCAATTTTTATTGGATTTAATCATCAAAGATTATATACACACACACTTTCCTTTCCTAGTCAGCATGGGAGACAATATTTGGGAATGACAGGTCTGATAGGAAGAGAATCAAGAGGCAGTTTTAGGAGTTGTCCTCCTGCAATGTCCCCAAGAAAGTTCATTGTCTGGAATTTTGTATTCAGTGCAGGGGACAATGGGCTCATGCAATATGGTGCTTCGCGCAGAGATTGCCTGCCGCATGTATGCTTTGTGTGGTGGTGCTGAAGGCCTGTATCCACACAGCTGTCCCCAGCCTCACCCACACGGAGGGACCTGAACGCACACAGCCTTGAACATTTGGCCCAGGAACCCCACCAGTTGGTCCTGCTGTGCTTAGAACCACAGATATCTGGGCAGCTTCCCTGTGAGGCATGACCTTAGCCAAGCAGCTCCTTTGGAATTCTTCTGGGACTGGCTCTAACCTCTGACAGTACTCAGTTATTAATAGCAAACCATATTCTAACTCATCAGCAAATTAGAAATTATTATTGCCATTGCTATGCCTTTGGGGGAATGTACTTTGTTATATTATTTTAGATTACTATTATATATTTTATTAATAATTCAATCAGTATAAAATCAAATGAAAATAATAACTGCTATTTTTATTGGACACTTTTCTATATACCAGGTGCTTTTTTATTATTTTTTTTAGATAGGGTCTTGCTCTTTTGCCCAGGCTAGAGTCCAGTGGTAGCATCATCATAGCTCACAGCAACCTCAAACTCCTGGGCTCAAGCAATCTTCCTGCCTCAGTCTTCCAAGTGGTTGGACTACAGGCATGTGCCACCATGCCAGGCTAATTTTTCTATTTTTTTGAGAGACAGGGTCTTGCTATGTTTACCAGGCTGGTCTCAAACTCCTGGCCTCAAGGAATTTTCCTGCCTCAGCCTCCCAGAGTGCTGGGATTACAGGTGTGAGCCACCACACCTAGCCCTAAGTACTCTTTTTAATCAAGTGGCCTGAATATCTTGTTTAGCGCTCAAAGCAACCTTAGTAATAAATTATGATTATCCCCATTTTACAGGTAATAAAACTAAAGAGATGTTCAGAAAGTTGCCAGTCACATAGCTGAGAAGTCAGGTCTACCTGCCTCTAAACTTAGTGGTTTTAACTACTAAGTTACATGACCTCTAATTACTGACTATTTAGAGCATTTATAGGATACTAAGGGCATTGTGAAGGAAGTGATTCTTTTGTAGACTCTAACTTTGAGCTTTCTACTGGCAAAGGGGTAGCAATAAACCCTAGATTTACCTTCATGCTACTGCTGCCAGGTACATGAAGAAAATCCTCCTTCAGTAGGAAATTGTGGAACTTTTATATATATGGCCACAGATGAGATCTGGGTCAGGTAATTCATTATCCTAAAAATCCATATGACATCATAAAGCATACTACTAGCTGGCAGCTGACAATATGATGTCATTAACTTAATTTCCTTCAACAAGAGTGATTCAGGATCTACAATGAGCTAGGCATTACATGAATATGCAAATAAATAAGACAAGTTCCCTGGCCCCCAGGAGCTCACAGTCTAGTGGGAGAAATTTATAATTAAGTACATTATGATGAGAATTGCCATGAAAGTGCAAAGTCTAAGAAAACTTAGGGGAATGCTCTCTAGAGGAATCCAAGGAGACCTGGAGTTTGAACTAGATATGGAATTTAAACTGGGTCCTGAAAAGTGAGCAGGAACTTGCAAAGCCAACAGAGTGTGAGAAAGAGAACTCCACGGGGTAAATAGCATAGAGATGCTTAAGGTACCATGAATGCCAATAAGCACCCATGTGGCTAGCTGGTAACAAATGAGCTTGGGAAGAAAGGTTGGGGTCAGACCCCAAAAGGTCAAGAATATCACA